GAGCAGATCCGAGCCGGCCAGAGCCACTCGCACTTTTCACGGCCTCGGTTGTCTTGTGGGGTCCTGCCAGTTTCTGGCCCTCCCAGGAGACACTGCTCCCCATTGCCCCCCAATCCTAACCTTCCTCCAGCCCACCTTACGTGTGCCCTGTGCCCTCACCTCTGCCCACAGGCCCTTCACCCCACAGCCCCGGGCCAGACGTCCTGGAAGAGCCCGCTCCCACCCTGAGCCTCCTCTGTGTTTGCATCATGCACCTTGTTATACCTTTATGCTGACATTACGCTTTACCATAATCACTCATATTGATGGTACATATTTTATAGCGAAATAGTTGTAGATATATTGTGAAATTTATTGCAGCATCATTAGAACACATCCCATCCTTGTTCGGACACTTTGTTGTCTGTCCCCACGTGGCTGTGACTGGGGTGAGGACAGCGCCTGACTCGCTGACCTTGGATCTCTTGAGCCAACCCTGGGAGCAGGGTGTTTTCTCGTTTGTTTGCTGTGGGAGGTCAGACCCGTGGTGTGGTGCTGTGTGGCAGGTGCTGTGGGAGCGAAGGCAGTCGTTGGAGAGGAGGCATTCACACCGCCCAGGGCCAGCTGACCTGCGTTCTGGGGTGACTCCATCCCAACTTGGTGACCGGGGGTAAGTCACCACCAACCCCATCTCTGAAACGTTGTCATCTGATGGGCGGTCTTCAAAGGCACTTCCTGCCCCACCAACTGAAGTCAGCCCTGCAGGCTGACTGCTTACCCCACCCTCTCTGCCAGTGTGTTGTATGTGGGAGCTGAATTTAGCGACCCCTGGAGAAGGAGCTCGCCGGTGGAAAGAGTCTGGGTTTGGAGGCCGTGTCCAGGAAGAGGCAGCTCCCCTGCTATCTGCTTACTCAGGACTGCAAGCCTCACTATCTCGAAACCCATTTGCAGCGTCTGTGACTCACGGAGAAGAGATGGGAAGGCCTCGCTCAGAGGAAGGCAGGACGGGTCAGCACCAAGGATCGCCAGCACCAGCGCCAGTGGGAACGCAGGCTTCCTGCCCAGCTCCCCTGGGATCCAGCAGCTCGCCTGCCCGGAAGCCTCGGGTGGGGTCTGCAGGGCGGGTCTCCGAGGCAGGGACACTGCGCGCACCAAGGAGAGGAGACCCGCTGGTCCCCCAGCGGCAAGCTGCCTCTCCCGGCCGTTCTCAGGCTGACTCCTCCTTGGCAGACAGTCCGTTCCAGGCACAGTCAGCCTGACTCACCGAAGCCGAAGCCCAGCCCAAGGAGAGGGGGAGAGGGGGAGAGAGAGAGAGAGAGAGAGAGAGAGAGAGAGAGAGAGCCCTGCTTCCAAGTGGGCGTGGAGCTCTCCCTCCCGCAGGGCAAGGCCAAGATTCTGCTGCGAGCCACCAGGGAGCCATAGAAGAGCGGCCTTGGCATCGTAAACACGGCCATTGCACACAGGACTCCTCTTTCTCACGCACGGACGGCGGGAGCTGGGGTCACGGCCTGAGTCCTGGGGCCAGGGGACAGGGACAGCCTGTCCTTGCCTGCTCTCACCCTGCCCGCCAACCAGGCCCCGCGTGCAGGGCCCACACAGTGGCGTCGGTAAGCACGGGCCAGTTGTGGAAGCAGAGGGTGCAGAGAGCTCAGGAGCTTGGTAGCACCGGCGCACACGGGCACAGTTCCCCGGACACACACACACCGGTGCCAGCCTCAGAGCAGCCCTCCCGAGATTCACCAAGTGCACCACAGCCACCGGACCTGGAGACCCCGTCACCCCGAAGCTGTGCAGCTGGGCACGGCAGCCTCTAGGGCGTGTCCTGCAGGGTCAGCAGGCGCCCATCACCCGCGAGTGTTCTGGGGGCTTTGCGGGTGGGATGAGGGCATCCCTCCCACTCGACCTTTCCCAGGAAAGCTGGGCCCTCCGGAGGGCACTGGGTGGGCCTGAGGAGGAATGGACAAAGGGCAAGCTTTTCTCTCCCGGGGAGACGTAAGTCAAGAAGCAATTGACCAGGAATCGAACCCAAGACCTTTTGGTCTGAGGGCCAATGCCCTAACCACTGAGAAAACTGGCCAGGGCCCACCTGCTGCTCCTGACAGTCCAACTAAGTCCAAGGTGCTGTGGCCCTTTCCTTTCTGGTTGCAGGGCCTCACCTGCACTTCCTTTGAAACGTTGTCACTGCCTGCCTGGGTTCTAGCTGTTCACCTGCATGTTCTTCTCCCCTGCTTAGTCCTCGGCCGTGTGTCCTGAAGCTTTTTAAACAACGGAATGGTGATCCTGAGCACACCAAGACACTTGATCCGGTGCCTCACTCCGTGGTGAGAAAAATAGGTGGGAGGGGAAGGAAGGGGGGAAGCGTGGTCAAGAGGAGGGACGAATTGGTTTTGTGTATC